CCCAAGAAATATTTGCTGAAAATAATATTTGCTATTACTGCAAATAACAATTGTTTTTCCTTCAAAAATTCAAATTTTAAAAAGAAAATAGTGATCCATCCACATGATGCCTTTCCTGATTCTGGTGGTTGAAAAAAATCACCTCCAAGGGTACATTAGATAATGTGGGTTCTTCCAAATAACGTAGTTTCTTTTCCTTTCAATACAATAACATGTATGTCATGAAAAACCATTTGGAAATAAACAGGCCATATAACACGTTTCTTCAGATTCTTCTTAATTTCTTTCATATCACTTAATTCTGAGAGTAAAAAACTTCACCTAGGAACAAGTAGATTACCAGCCCCAAATCAGTATGATTTACTTCTAATAATTTATTGCTAGAGTCATTTGTACATAAACTTTCTGTTTTTGAGGAGGTGACATTTCAATGCAATGCCCTTGTGTGATTACCAGTTGGGTAATTTACTCACTTCCATATAGGTTTGTAATCAAAGCTTACAGACAATCTGGATTATATTCCAAGGTATTCCTTATCTTTCCTTCAAAATCATTCTTCTAGTGCCAGGGGTGGGGAACCTTTTTTCTGCCAAGGGCCATTTGGATGTTTATAACATCATTTGAGTGCCATACAAAATTATCAACTGAAAAATTAGCCTGTTCTATTGGTCAAACATTTAATTAACTGCCCCCTAATGCCTCGGCAGGGCCAGACCAAATGATTTCATGGGTCTTATAACAACCTCAGGCCGGACGTTCCCCACCCCTGTGTCTATCGGTAGCCAGGGCAGATGGGGAGGAGACCATGGGCAGGGATCCATCATAACTAGTCAGAGTCAATTTTAATTCTGCAGAGTCCAAAGTAGCCTGGGAGCAGAAAGAACCAGTCTGGGGGACTCGAAGTTTGTTAAAACAAATAGCTAACCCACAAATGCCCAGGGGAATGCCCTCTTCTCCTCTCTCTTTTCCTCTCAATTTCTCTCCACCTCTCAGTTTCTCTCCTACTGCTGTGTCCACGCCCCTAGAAGCTTGTTCAGGAACTCCTGTCTGACAAAGGGATCTTTATTAGCCTTTATCCAGGCTTTAATTGCATTTCTACTCAGCCCTTTTAGTGTTAAATTTCTCCAAAGATTGTGGACAGCAGCTCTCCTCTGTTCACCTACCTCCCCCTCTTCTACCCATTAGTCTGGTTTTAGCCTCTCCCACTATAATGAGTCAGTTCTCTGGAAGGTTTTTGGAGGTCTCCTAGTCACCAGTCCGCAGTCCTCATCCTCCTCAACCTCCCACTTATGCAACTGTTTCAGTTAGCCACTAAATTGGGCCTCCCCTCCACTTGGCCTCCATGGGTCTTGCCTTCTGCTCTCTTTCTCCAGTCCACAAATGGAAGCAGCAGTCTCCAAAGTTCTGATTCCAATTCTTTCTAGTTTCTCTTCCTTAGTCATTTCATCCATTTCCATGACTTCACTATAATTTCTGTTGATGACTCCTGTCTGTCTCTGGTTCTGACCTCTCCACCCACATGAGCTTACTGCATAATTTCACATGGATCGTCTTCTGACACCCTCCACCTCAATGGGTCTAAAACAAAGTTTGTCATCTCCCCCTTCAAAACTCTTCCTCCACCCTAGCTCAAAACTTGTCATATTTACCACCACCCCCCCTTTTTCTCAGTTGGTCATTACACAGCTTAGGGTGGAAACTTTTCTTCTTCCTGATCCATAAGTTTGGTGTTTGTGCCACAATTTCCTACTTCTAGGGAAGTCCTGCAGATACATCTGCCATCTTATTAAAGCCCCTTACTCTTACCTTTGGGAGGTGGAATGACTCTTTGATGAGAAAAATTGGGGAAGGCCTGCTAGCTACTAATGGTCCTATCTCTTGCTCACTCATGCAGAATGCCTTGTGGATTGGAGTGTCAGGCTCCTCTCAGCCTCTGGTCTTCAGGTAAGGACTACAAGTAGGGTTGTTCCTGCTCTAGTGCCGGGAAGCACTATACATTTGACACCTGAACAACGTGGGGGTTAAGGGAGCTGACGATTGAGAATCTGCGTATAACTTTCAAATCCCCCCAAACTTAATTGCAAATAGCCTACTGTTGACTGGAAGCCTTACCAATAACATAAACAGTTTATTAACTCATATTTTGTATGTTATATGTACTGCATTCTTACAGTAAAGTAAGCTAAAGAGATGAAAATGTTATTAAGAAAATCGTAAGATAATATACATTTTCAGTATTTATTTTTTAAAATTTCAGGTATAAGTGGACCCTCACAGTTCAAACAGTTTTGTAAGCACTGCAGACCTTACAAAACTTAGCCTCGGGGTGGCTCTCAGCGTCCCTTACAATCTGTAATGTGCCTGTGGAAGCTTCCTGGGTGCTGTCAGCTGGGGTTGTTGGCTCGGATATCCCAACTATAGTTCTTCATTAAAGCCTGTGTTATTAAAGGGTCAACTATAGTTCTTCAGCTATGACTGAGGGGGTGGGGCATGCTGAGTCAGGGGAAAAGGAGTAAGATGCTCCATTTTGGCCTTGGGTCTAAGCCATGTTCTTCAGTATGACTTTACCCTCAATAAAGTTAATATTTTAATTTCCTTTTGGTTCCTTGTGTGTGTTCTCAATAGATCATCTTCTACACACCTGGTATGAAACTCTCTGTTATTTTCCCCAACTCACCCTCTTCTCTTGGGTGATAGTGCTAACTCAATATCAAAAAAAGTCAAAAAAATTATATATACTTTTCCATTTTGATTTTTCATTTCTTGGGATGAAAGATTTGGTCAAAAGCCTTCCTCCTCCATCTCTATCCCAAAACATTAAATTTTTGTGACTTCAATAAAATGTCAATTATTCTTTTAAAATGAAAACCTGGCAGAAAGAAAAGGTATGACTTCTACTAAATTAACTTCCAAAAAGGATTGATTAGTTGATTCAATATTTATTGAATTCCACAATGCACCAGGCATCACAAAAACACACAGAAAGAAGCAATTAATAACATGACATTATTTGGAGAAGGAAGTGATAAATTAGCAACAAACAAATCAGAAAATAACAATAGAACCTGAATACTAAATTATTTTAATGATTTGGTTTGCTTATTATTAGTATCCTTGAGCTAACAAATGGAAAGAACAGAAATGAATGCATCTAAAAAGAAATATCTATAATCCTACCGCACGGCAGTTAAGCATTTGCCTGCCAAAAGAGATAAATGATGTTCTTGTGTGCATGTGAAACTTATAAATGGCTGCAGCGAGACTCAGGATGATAACAATTGTGCTAAAGTAATAGCTCAGAAAACCATAATTGCTATTTAGTTGCTTTTTGTTGTAAAAGCGCAGAGTCTGGGGCAAACTGGTTAGTGTGCTGTGTTTGTGGTCTTAGACGTGTTTCAAAGATATTTAGGCCATTTCAGATGACTCACGAATTTTAGCTACTGAGAAGTATAAAGTAAAGATGACCTTCCTAAATTCTCAGCTGTGTCTCCCAATGTTTGCAGAAAGTTAATTCAGCTTTGTTGTTTTAAATTACTCCTCTAGGCCACTGTGAGTCCATACAGTAAAGAATTCTTCCTTTCCTGATGTGCCACACATTTCAGGCTCTCGGGATTCTCTTCAGTAACCCCTATACAATGGGCAGGAATGCAGTCTCTCACTGCAGTGGGCTGCAGTATCAAGAAACCTTTCAGAAACGTGCACATGATGCAGTGCTACCTGTCAGCCGGCGTCCCAGGTGCCTAGGAAGCCTCTCCCGACTTGTGCAGCCTACACTCTGACATTCAACATTCCCACCTTATACAGCCTCTGCAAGCAAGGTCCTACAACCCCCAACTGAGATGCAGTATATCAACAACTTGAATGTTCATATTGTTTTTGGAAACAAGTTGTAAGTAAAAAAAACTTCATCCGTTGTTTCCCACGTTTATGAATCTGGCATTTAAGAAATGCATTAGGCAATGCCTTTTTGAGTTCCCTTTAATGCTTACACATGGTAATATGTTAAAATGGAAAAGAACATCAATGGTTAAGCTTTTATGCAGAGATGTACAATTGATTTTGTATCATTAGGAAACAGCGATAGTGAGATCCTTCAAGCAAATAACAAAACCTAAGCATTGTCATGGATTCTTGGCTTTTCAGAATTTTACAAATTACTTTTTTATGACACAATTCCTTCCGTCTCTTAAATATTCCGAAGAGTCCACCTTAGCAATTATTAGCAACACCACAAATGCAGTAATGTGTTACCTTGCCATTATAATCACTGTTTCCTTATGCAAGTAAATAAAACAAACAAAACCCAGCTCCACACAGCACTGCCTTGGGAGCAGCAAAAGGCGCGCGGGGTACCGCACCCGGCCTGCCGGCGGGCCAGGGCAGCGAGATGCCGCAGACTGCGGCAGCAGCGGAGGCTTTCTGGCCGGGTGGCGGTGGCCGTGCACGGGAAGGCGCAGTGCAGCACACCCGCCATACCTTCCGCGTTGGCACTGCATCAGCGCCCACCGAAAAATCTCTCCCAGCCACCAACTACAATATACTTTTTGTTGGTTTTGAAGAAATGGGAGGGGCAAGAGGGAGAGAAGAGGTAATGTGTGCATTTTGTGTGACAGATCATTATTTCTTCACATTCCCTAAAAAATTTCTCTTCCAAATATTTACCAGCCAATCCCAACTTCTTTCATCTGCCAGTTCCCTAAATCTGAAATTGCCCCTCCCTTGCAAATGCATTAAATGAGTCAGATTTTACGGTAAACGCAAGGATACCAAGAGGCTCTAACGTGCCCATTTCTCGGTTGCGGAAATTGCACCAAGTTTGGGTGGTGGAACGGTTCACGTCTGCGGATCGGAGCGTTCAACTGGGGAGCGCTCCCAGGTAGAAGGGGTTGGAGACAGGTGGGCCTCCCGTTCTTGGAGGACCCCAATTCCCAGGGAAGGCCCTTCCCGGTGTTCACGCTTGAGCGTGCGAGGAACCCTCCCTCCCGCAAGCAATAGCTCACCCGGCAGCATCTTCCAAAGCCCCAACATCGGGGCGGGGAGCGGGGAGACGGGAGGGTAGGGGGCAGCACCGCCTGGAGGCTCCCTCCGCGCCTTACGGTTTTCCCCCTGGCTCCTTGGCGCCCCCTGACGCCAGGCTCCCTGCAATTAGGCCAAGGGAGGCTGGACAGGCGGAGGCCCCAAGCGACCGGGAGCTTCGAGGCCCCTGGCTGGTGCACTCTCAGGACGGCGCGGACCGGCTGGCGGCCCCACAGGAAGGAGC